GCCATTGCTCTCCTCCCAAGAAGATTTCTGATTTCCTGGCTGTAGTTTGCGTCTACAGTCATCTTCGTGCCTAGAAATACAAAGTTTGTCTCTGCCTCCTTGTTTTCTCCCTCTTATTGCCAGTTATATTTAACTGCAACACAGCTTTTGTGCTTTCTTCCTTTACCTTGGCCATCAGGCTCCTCAGTTCCTCCATGCTTTCTGCCATCAAAGTGGTATCAACTGCATATCTAAGGTTGTTAATGTTTCATCCAGCAATTTTAACTCCAGCCTTGGATCATCAAGCCTTGCATGTTGCATGATGTGATCTGCATACAAATGGAATAGGTAGGGTGAGAGTATACATCCCTGCCATACTCCTTTCTCAATCTGGAACCAGTCTGTTGTTCTGTGGTCTCCTCTTACTGTTGCTACATGGTCGTTATACAGATTCCTCATTAGACAGACAAGGTGACTTGGTATCCCAATACCACCAAGAATTTGCCACAAGTTACTGTGATCCAGGTTTTAGAATAGTCAATACATACCGGCTGTTAGGAATTGTGAGAGTTGAAGTCCAAAACATCTGGAGGGCCCAGGTTTGCCCGTACCTGGTATGGACCTACTCCAAAAGGGGACACCTATAACTCTCCAAGTTCTTTTTAGTCTATAACTCCCATCAGTCCTGGTTGCCACAGCTGATAAGAAAGACATACGGGAAATGTGGATGAAAAACATCCAAAGGACCACATTTTCCCACCCTGGCCATTTGAGAAAGCAAATAAAGCACCATAATCTGAAAAAGCAGAGAACCCCTCCAACCCTAAAATTAGAAGCAGGAGCCTGGGGATGAGCAGGTTGAAGGACTAGGAGGAAAGAGGGAGGAAGGCAACTTTAGCCTTTTTTGTATGTGGTTTCCAAATATTTATTTGCTTAAGGAGAATGAATCCCTGCTTTCTCGATTTCACTTGTGCACTGTGGGTGGTTTTTGTTTTAAAACAAATAAAACCTGCTATTTATACCCATCTGACAGACTTCAACTTCCTAGCTCTATGTGTCTGTCCTTCCTCACTTCTCTTTTTCCTTCCTCATTCCCTTCTTTCCTTCCATCCCTCTCTTCCACCCTTGTCCTTCCTTCCTTTTGTCTTTCCTCCCTTCCCTCTTTCCTTCCCTTCCCTCTCTCTCCTTCCATCCTTCCCTTCTCCCTTTCCTTCCTTCTCTTTTTCCTTCTTCCTTCCCTTCCATCCTTCCCTTCCACCTTTCATCCTTTCTTCCCTTTTTGTCTTTCCTTCTTCTTTCCTTCTCTTCCTCCTTCCCTCTCCCTCTTTCTCCTTCTCCCTTCCTCCTTTCCCTTCCTTCCTTCTCTTTTTCCTTCCCTTCCTTCTCTTCCTCCTTCTTCCACCCTTTCATCCTTCCTTCCTTTTTCTTTTCTTCTTCCCTCCTCCCTCCTTCCCTCTCTCCCTCTTTCTCCTTCCATTCTTTCCTTCCTTTCATCCTTCCTTTCTTCTCTTTTTCCTTCCTCCTTTTTTTCTTTCCACCCTTCCCTTCCACCCTTTCATCCTTCCTTCCCTCTTGTCTTTTGCTCCTTTCCTCTTTCCCTCTCTCCCTTTTTCTCTTTCCTCTCCTTCCTCCCTTTCATCCTTCCCCCTTCTCTTTTTCCTTCCACCTTCTCTTCTTTCCTTCCATCCATCCTTCCCTTCCACCCTTTCGTCCTTCCTTCCCTTTTGTCTTTTGCTCCTTTCCTCTTTCCCTCTCTCCCCCTTTCTCCTGCCTCCCTTTCATCCTTCCTTCTCTTTTCCTTCCTCCTTCCTTTCTTTCCTTCCATCCTTCCCTTTCGTCCTTCCTTCCCTTTTGTCTTTCGCGCCTTTCCTCTTTCCCTCTCTCTCCCTTTTAGAACGTTTGCCCATGCCTGCTCTCAGCCACGAGCACTGGACACCCTCCAAATTTTGCTGTCTGTAATAAACTAGGTATGTACTCCACCCTGCTCTGGTCAAGGTATATCGTTCCTGAGGCCAATCAAGTTATTTTGATACCCGCGTCATAAAACCCCACAGCCACCTCCCTTTCTCCCTGGCAGTAAAAAATGTGATGATAATAAATTAGGAACTCCAAAGTTGGCAGCCTTTTCATTTTGCCCCAAATATGCAGTCTGAGCCTACTGTCTCCCTCTGCCCCAATGACAGGGATCCAAATTTCTGTCTCCATCTGCGGTGTGAGGTCAGGTTGGACATTACGGTGTTCTTTTTTTTAAAGAGACATATTTGCGGTCAGATAATGATGAATGAATTACTTTTTAAAAAAGCAATCAAAAAGAGGCTTTAAATTACCAACAGATGTTTTTAAACAGTTATAATAGAATGTCTGTTCTCTTACAAAAGAGCTGTATGTTAACCAAGATTACATTAAGCCAGGCCTCAACGACTTGACTGCTGATTGTTAGAGGGAAGACTAAAATGAGTGAATTAGACAATCATAGCGTTGGAATGGACTCCAGTGACCATCCAGTCCAGCCTCTTTCTGTCATGCAGGAAGACACAATCAAAGCACTCTCGACAGAAGGCTGTCCAGCCTCTGTTTAAAAGCCTCTAGAGCAGCTTTTCTCAACCTGGGGGTTGTAACCCTTGGGAGGGGGGGTTGCGAAGGGGTGTCAGAGGGGTCACCAAAGACAATCAGAAAACACAATATTTTCTGTTGGTCATGGGGGTTCTGTGTGGGAAACTTGGCCCAATTCTATTATTGGTGAGGTTCAGAATGTTCTTTGATTGTAGGTGAACTATAAATCCCAGCAACTACAACTCCCAAATGTCAAGGTCTATTTTCACCAAACTTCACCAGTGTTCACATTTGGGCATATTGAGTATTTGTGCCAAGTTTGGTCCAGATCCATCATTGTTTGAGTCCACAGTACTCTCTGGATGTAGGTGAACTACAGTTCCAAAACTCAAGGTCAATGCACACCAAACCCTTCCAGTATTTTCTGTTGGTCATGGGAGTTTTGTGTGTCAAGTTCGGTTCAATTCTGTTGTTGGTAGAATTCAGAATGCTCTTTGTTTGTAGGTGAACTATACATTACAGTAACAACAACTCCCAAATGTCAAGGTCTATTTACACCAAACTCCACCAGTGTTCAAATTGGGCGTATGGGGTATTTGTGCTGAATTTGGTCCAGTGAATGAAAATACATCCTGCATATCAAGTATTTAAATTATGATTCATAACAGTAGCAAAATTACAGTTATGAAGTAGCAACAAAAATAATGTTATAGTTTGTGGTCACCACAACATGAGGGACTCTATTAAGGGGTTGCAGTATTAAGAAGGTTGAGAAACACTGCTCTAGAGCAGTGGTTTCCAACTTTTTTTTTACTAGGGACCACTTGACCAGGGACCACTTAAACTGGGACCATTTGAACAGTGACTACTTTGACCAGGGACCACTCTCCAACATTAGTACCAAAAGGGTTATGCATCGAGTTTTGGTCAACTTTAGATTTGGTTTGGTTAGTTGGGGTACTGATTCAGAAAATTGCATTGGATAGTCCACATCAGCTCTAGTTTCTGGTACAAAACATATGCCACCCAGTAGTCGCGATTTGCTCACTCACACAAAAATGTCAAAAATGTTTAAAAGCCTCTAGAGAAGCTTTTCTCAACCTGGGAGTTGTGACCCCGGGGGGAGGGGGTCACAAAGGGGTGTCAGAGGGGTCACCAAAGACCATCAGAAAACACAATATTTTCTGTTGGTCATGGGAGATCTGTGTGGGAAGTTTGGCCCAATTCTATTGTTGGTGAGGTTCAGAATGTTCTTTGATTGTAGGTGAACTATGAATCCCAGCAACTACAACTCCCAAATGTCAAGGTCTATTTTCACCAAACTTCACCAGTGTTCACATTTGGGCATATTGAGTATTTGTGCCAAGTTTGGTTCAGGTCCATCATTGTTTGAGTCCACAGTGCTCTCTGGATGTAGGTGAACTACAACTCCAAAACTCAAGATCAATGCCCACCACACCCTTCCAGTACTTTATGTTGGTCATGGGAGTTCTGTGTGCCAAGTTTGGTTGATGTGGTAGTAGTAATCTTTCGTGAGTAGTCACTCTCCCTTCCCAACATCCCCATTGCTTCGGCACTATAAGAGGGTTACATGAGACCAGTCGCTTTCGTTGCTGTGTGGTTTCAAGGCAATGGTGTAGTAATATTGAGGCGGTGGACCATCTTCTTGTTCTTGCGGACCACTGATGGCCCATGGACCACAGGTTGGGAACCACTGCTCTAGAGAGAAGGAGACTCCAAGGTAACATATTCCACTGTCAAATGAAATTCTTCCTAATATTTAGGTGGAATTTGTTTATTTTTATATTTATACCCCGCCCTTCTCCCCCCGAAGGAAGACTCAGGGTGGCCTAACAAAAGCATCATACGATGCTAGTATCATAAAAATAACCACAGTAAAATAAAAATATTAAAAATTTAAACAACAATTAAAACAATTAATTAAGACACATTCATTAAAATCGAAATCCAAAAACCAGTCCAGGTCAATTCATTGCCATAAGTTGTGTGATCTTCTTCCACTTGCTGCTCTCTGATCAAATGCTTGGTCTCATAACCAGGTCTTGATTTTCCTTCTAAAAGACAAGAGGGAGGTGGCCAATCTGATATCTCTAGGGAGGGCATTCCATAGGCGGGGGGCCACTGCTGAGAAGGCCCTGTCTCTCATCCTCATCAACCGTGTTTGCGATAGTGGTGGGATTGAGAGCAGGGCCTCTCCTGAAGATCTTAAACTTCATGATAGTTCATGGCAGGAGATACGTTCGGAAAGGTAGTCTGGGCCAGAACCGTTTACTTCTATTTGAATCCATTGCTCTGTGTTCTGAGCAGTAGTGAACAAGCTTGTCCCCTCCAATGTGACATCCTTTCAAATATTTTAATATGGCTCTCATGTCCCCTCTCAGCCTTAGATTTAATCCAATGTAGGATTTATATAGGTGCTGATTCCGTGCTTCTTTTTTTCTCTCCAGACCTGGATGCAGACAACCTTCCTGTCTATTGTTCCCTTGCTTTGGGTGATCCACCGCCCTATGCCTCTCCTCTAAGCATCCCATGTCCATTGCATCTTAGTAGCAGCCGTGCGGGCATGCATTCTCCTCCTCCCCGTCCGGCCGACTTAGATGGCGACACTTTTGAGAGTCAACCAGCTCGGCGGGTCCGTCTTGGAGGTTCCCGGGTTCTGGAGTGCCCCAGCATCCAGATCACCACCATTTCTCCAAGCCGACGGTGCGAGGAAGATGACTGGGACTCTTCCCCCCGTGATTATCTCCTTCTGGAGGCTTTTGGGGGGTACCGAGAAACGACTCCATCGTCCGGCTTCTTTACCCCCAGTCCAGCCAGCAGTGGCAGTGTATCGCCATGGAGCTTTTTCTCAGATGATGAAACCCCCGCCGGAGATGATGTGGAGCATGAGTTGAATGAGGCGGCTGCCCGATTTGCCCTCAATTCCCCCTTGGGTTCTCCTCGGGGCTCTCCGAAGCCGTGGTCGTCGGCCGAGGAGTCTTGGCCGGGTTATGGGGTCAACTACTCCCCGAGTCGTGGAGCAGAGGACGGGTGGATGGTTCTGGGCCCTCGCCCGGCTTCTCCTTGCGGTAAGCGGCGTTATTCCAGCTCCGAAACGCACTCCTCGGCATCTCCATGCTTGTCCCGGAGGGGCAGCCTTGGTGAGGAAGCCACAGGGGAGTCTGTGGAAGCAAGTGGAGACGGAACCACCTTCAACTCTACTGGAGCCCGGCTGGTGGAAAGTATTCCCCAAAAAGCTCGGAAGACTTCAACGGAGCAGACGGTGGCACTGACCCGGAAAGAGGATGGGAGTTGCAATGGAGAGGATGCTGGTAATGGTTTTGGGCTTGGAATGGCCCGGAAAGAAGGGATGGATTACCTTGCCGTACCATCACCGCTGGCCTGGTCCAAGGCTCGGATTGGAGGCCATAGTCCCATATTCAGGTAATAAAAAGCAACATCAAACATAAAACCATAGAATTACTCATAAAATCATAGAACAGTGGGGTGCTGTGAGTTTTCCAGGCTGTATGGTCATGTTCCAGAAGCATTCTCTCCTGACGTTTTGCCCACATCTATGGCAGGCATCCTCAGAGGTTGTGATGTCTGTTGGAAAATAGTCAAGTAAGGTTTATATCTCTGTGGAATGTCCAGGGTGGGAGAAAGACTCTTGTCTGCTTGAGGCAAAGGTGAATGTTGCAATTGCCCACCTTGATTAGCATTGAATGGCTTTGCACCTTCAAAGCCTGGCTGGCTGCTGCTGGGGGATCATTTGTTGAGAGGTGTTAGCTGGCCTTGACTGATTGATAGAACAGTTGGAAGAGACCACAAGGGTGATCCAGTCCAATGCAGAAAAACACAATCAAAGGTCTCCTGGCAGATGGCCATCCAGCCTTCTGCTAGGGAACTTCAGGACAGCATATTCTATTGTTGGGCAGCTCTTACTTGTATCCATTGCCCGGTTGTGTTCTAGAGCAGCAGAAAGCAAGTTTGCCTCTTCCTCAATGTGACATCCTTTCAAATATTTAAAAATGGCAATTATTTCCCCTCTCAGTTTTATTTCGCTGAGGTAAACAATGCCCATCTCCTCAAAGAGCTTGGCTTTCAGACCTTTGATCATTTTCATAGAAATCATAGAATCACAGAGTTGGAAGAGAGTGTTCCACTAGAAAGACAGAACATACTGGCTTCTAGATATTGGAAGACAGAACTCCCATCATTCCTAGCCACTACAGCAGTGTTTCTCAATCTTCCTAATGACATGACCCCTTAATACAGTTCCTCATGTTGTGGTGACCCCCGACCATAACATTATTTTCGTTTCTACTTCGTAACTGTAATTTTGTTACTGTTATGAATCGCAATATAAATATCTGATATACAGGGTGTACTTTAATTCACTGGACCAAATTTGGCACAAATACCCGATACGCCCAAATTTGAATACTGGTGGGGTTGGGAGGGGAGATTGATTTTGTCATTTGGAAGTTGTAGTTTCTGGGATTTATAATTAATCTACAATCAAAGAGCATTCTGAACTCCACCAATGATGGGACTGAGCCAAAGTTGGTACACAGAACTCCCAAGACCAACAGAAAATACTGGAAGGTTCTGGTGGGCATTGACCTTGAGTTTTGTAGTTGTACTTCACCTACATCCAGAGAGTACCATGGACTCAAACAATGATGGATCTGGACCAAACTTGGCATGAACACTCAAATGTAAACACTGGTGGAGTTTGAGGAAAATAGACCTTGACACTTGGGTGTTGTAGTTGCTGGAATTTATAGTTCATCTACAATCAAAGAGCATTTTGAATCCCACCAATGATAGAATTGGGCCAAACTTCCCACACAGAATTCCCATGACTAACAGAAAATAGTGTTGTAGTAGGTTTTTTTGGGCTATATGGCTGTGTTCTAAAGGCATTCTCTCTTGACGTTTCACCTGCATCTATGGCAAGCATCCTCAGAGGTAGTGAGGTCAGACCTCACTACCTCTGAGGATGCTTGCCATAGATGCAGGCGAAACGTCAGGAGAGAATGCCTCTAGAACATGGCCATATAGCCCGAAAAAACCTACAACAACCCAGTGATTCCGGCCATGAAAGCCTTCGACAATACAGAAAATACTGTGTTTTCTGATCCCTCTGGCACCCCCTTGCAACCCCCCCAGGGGTCCCGACCACCAGGTTAATAAACACTGTACTACAACTAGTAGTTAGGGATCCTGAGAATTCCACTCTTGCAGTAACATCATTTATTTATATGGCCTCATCACCATATATGTGAACTGGTCTCCACCACATCCTGGTGTGGACATTAGTGGCAGAAAGGCCAGGAAGGAACACTTTAATGGATTTTAAAAAATTGTCTTGAAACTTCCCTGCATTGAAAAAGCCAAAGGGTTTCAAGAATCATAATTCTTGTTCTACCACAAAAATGTGGGTGTTGTTTTTTTTTCAACTACCCTGCAGCCAATTTTTGGCAAGGTGACGGAAGCTATGAAAACGAACAAGGGCTCCCTATTGCTTTTTCTTGCTCTTTTAACTTCTTAGCTTGTAACTTGGTGGGAGACAGGAATGAGTGAATGCTATTGATACTGATTAACAGTGTTAAGGATATTAAATATTGGGTTGGAGATTAATAAAGACCTAGTCAGGCAAGAAGGATGACGAAGAGGGCGGAATGAAAATCACATGTAGTTCACATCTTTACCAATCCACACACTGTCTTGCTAGAGAAAAGATATGTCACGCAGATTATCAGTAAAGAATAAGGTGTTTACTCTTTGCTATGCAGAGCAACATATATATATATAGTCATGTGAACAGTCGCATTGACTCGCACAATGTCCTTTGAGAGAGATTCAAAAGGTCCTTGAATGTCCATGTGAAAGATCTTCTTCCAGCAGCCCAGAAGGAAAAATACAAAACTGACCTGGTAAACTCCTGCACAGAAAACCTAAAAATGTGACTGTTTCCAAAGCTCCCAGGCTCAGCTAGCTTCTCGGGCATAACTCAACCAATCAGCTTCGTGCTTTGCATTTTCCACTTAACACACTCACCAACTGATTTTTACATGCTCCCAACAGATTTTGTAAGCTGAACAACAGACAATACAAAGGTATAAGTCACACAATCTTCCCATATACAGCAGTTAGGAGCACAAGAACTGCACAAATGCAGAAAAAGTAAATTAAAACTCCTACAAAAAACATACAAATACAAGATAGACCCTACATTAAAATCACTAGAAAATCGGAAAAATCATAACACATCAGTACATTAAAATAAACTGTTAAGACAACACAAAATCCAAAGTCATAATCCAGGAGCAGTTCCAATCATGGTACAATTTGTGGCTGCCTATTGCACTATGCTGCTCCCCAAATTTATTTTAAATTTGGCTTTTAATATATTTTTTCTTTTTTTAAAAAATATATCTTTATTGAATTTTTAAATAAATAAGCGGGGAAGGGAAGGGGGGAAGCTGGGTGAAGGGAAAAGCGGGGGTTGGACGGGGACGGAGGGGGAAAGGGTGGGGCAGGGGAAGGGGTACATACAATGTATACATACCGAACATATACATACATTTACATCCATACTAACACATTGACATACCTATATCAAACTCACCTAGTGTATCTTCCTGCTTTCCCCCCTGCTCTAAGGGGCGAATCGCTCAGATACAACTACATATACATCATGTACATTTACACTAATTAAAAACATACGACTTCAATTTAGCTTCCAAACAAAGTGTCTTCCAACAGTCCCAGGTGATCCACATTGGGATCTCCTATTTTAGTTTTCACCCGTCCGAAACTATAGTAAACCTATCTGCGTCTCACCTTTTCAGATCACAATTATTTTAACAATCAAATTTGCTTTTTTCATATTCCTCAAAATCAGTCCAATTCGTCTGCTTTACTGGTCTTCCGGAGCAATTTCTCAGGAAGAATGTTAACTTGTCCATATCCCTTATTTCTATTAATTTATATAGCCATTCATCTATCTTTGGAATATGTTCATCCTTCCAGTGTCTTGCCAAAGTTATCTGAGCAGCAGTGGATATATATGTAAGCAGGATATCTTCGTTACAATTCAATTTTAAATCTTCATCTGACAGGCCTAATAGGAAATATTCTGATTTTCTAGGAATCTTTTTCTTTAATATTTTTTGAGCCTCTCCCTGTATGGCTTGCCAATATTTATTCACCTCCGGGCACGACCACCACATATGATAGTATGTTCCTGGTTGTTCCTTACATTTCCAGCATGTATTTTGGTAATTTGCATACATTAAACTCAGCTTTTGAGGTGTTGTGTACCACCTGTGGAAGGTCTTTAGCCAGTTCTCTTTAAGTGCTCTTTTTTCTTAACGGAACCACTATGATGCTTTATGTGGAATCCTTTGGTTCCGCTGACACAGTTTGGGAACGTCTACTTGGCAACGTTATGGCCAGCTTCTAGTCCCCTTGATTCCACAGCATTGAGCTATGGCAATTCAAGTGGGGTCAAACTGCATTAATTTTACAGTGTGGATGCACCCCAAGCTCCCCCAGACCCGCCTTGGTGAGAGATGGAGTAACTAACTGGGAAGGCATTGGGTTGCAGGCAGGAGAAAGCAAAGGCTTGGATCCCCATTCTTCCACCCACTTCTTCCAGCCGGTCTGAATTTGCCAGCTGCACTTTCCGCGCTTTGGTCTGGCTGCCAGAGGTTCTGTTGTATAAAAACAACTTGTCAAGCCAGCCCAGGCAGAAGAAGGGCTGGTGTCTCCAGTTACACATCCCAGACCCGGGTGTGTGGTGGGAGGGAGCTGGCATAAACATGCTGTGGCTCCTTCCCTGTTAAGGTAAGCAACTGGGTCGGAGGAATTCCTCCACCATGGCAGTGGATTGGCTTTATCATGGCAGCTTCCCTGACTCTCCCCCACTGGCCAAGCTCTGTTTTTTTCATGCCAAAACCCATTCATTGTCTTCCTTTCCATGATGGATTTTTGTTTACTGGTTATTAATGTCTAGACCAGCGGTTCGCAAACTTTTTCGGTCATGGAACTCTTCCGAAGACTTTTCACAACAGAACACTAATTCTATTGTGAACCCACCAAGTGGCTGAGGGCGAAAAGGAAAGGGACTGAGGCTGTTAGGAATTGTGGGCGTTGAAGTCCAAAACACCTCGAGAGCCCACGTTTGACCATGCCTGTTGTAGGTACATCCTTCATTGGCATATTAGCCAATTGCTAACAACCATTCAGTGTAGAAGAGGAGTCAAATTATTATTATTATTATTATTATTATTATTATTATTATTGTTATTATTAGAAACACAACAATATGAGTCCACAGCAGACAAGATCACAGCAGACAAGTCCACAGCAGACAGGATCTGCTGGCTGTTGTATTGGATCACATGTCGGACACTTTCCAAATGTCTAGGACA